GGGGGAAGCTACTCAAAAGCTATTTGCATTTAATGTAATAATAATGAAAGAAAACCAGTATAAAAGCTTTTCAAAAATCAGAGGCATAGTTTAGAAAGCCTTTTCTTTTAGTATCACTCACATAAAGCCATTAAATTTGGAAAGTCTACAAATTTAGTCTCCTAGCTCCTCACACTTGGTTTTTTAAGCGTTCGTGTGTACACAAAACACCAGATATTGATGAAAGTCTGTTTCCAGGAGAGAGTGAAGGCCTCCAGCTCAGAAGAAGAGTTCATTATTCACATTAAGGCTTTTTTCTTAATAGATTTGTGCCGGACAGGAAAACTCCTTCAGTTGCATAAGCTGTCTACCCGTTCACGAAATTTATGAAAAACACGTAATGTTTGGCAGGGTTGTAATAAACAGTCAGAGCTGACACAGTCTCAGAAGCATATGGTAAATTGAAAATTGTCACTCAAAAAAATGAGGATAAGAACCTTATTTTGTCCTCATTATTGGCATGGAAAAAAACTCAGACTTCTGTGGCAGTGCTCGTCTTCCAAGCAGCTGTAGAAGAGAGAAGGAGGTGGTCATATAGCAGGCTGAGTATGTAGGAAGCAGAACAATAACTAAAGAGCTGCTCCGAGAGGCTGCTCCGCACATGGCAAGCACAGAGCCATGGCCGGAGGGTCTCTTGCTGGGTTTATGGCCATGCCTTCTGTCAAGCTTAGTAATTTGCTCCCATACACATCTGTCTAGTTTGCCCAAGCTTAAAATGGATCCTGATACAGCCTGTACTTGTTATCAGGATAAATTTTCACTGACAAGCTCACAGAACCAAGTACCACGTATTCCCTGTCAACACCCATCACATAAAACGTCCACAGCAACGGAAAGGTAAATAGAAGTACTGTGCCAGCTATATGTAGCAATTTGCTACCATTTAGGTCCAGCATACAACTAATTTTTTGGGGGAAAAAAATGCACTACAGATACCTGCTCAAAGGATGTATATACTTGTCTGTGACACACCACAAGCAAAGACTGACAGAACAGGCACTGTATCATAATGGTAAATTGTCTACATATGACACAAAGAACAAATGTGGATTTTCAAACCAGTGCAGCAAGAACAATGCATAATTGATGTTGCTTCTGTGATTTCAAGCACAACTGTTCTGCCTGGTTTTAAGATGTAAGCATATTGAAAACAGTCTCTTACAAATTAAGGCTCTAAAGGACTGAAGCAGTTGACCAACTGCCTGCAGAGCCAGCATGACATCTGTTTCCAGTGACAAGACGGACATGCAATTCAGAGTTGGTATTTACAATCTCTACGATGCCACTACTATTCTTTGGCATGCGTAGTGTGCCACAGTCACACTAAGCTAACTATTGATCATCAGTTTACAAGTTGTTAACTGCTGGTCAACAGTCAAACTTACTAACTGTCTTCAGCAGTTTTGCTGAAGTCCTCAGGTGCTCGAATCCTTTCTGACATTTCTGTAGAGCACCATTAGCAAAAGTTACCCTAAGCTGGCTCACATACAGCCCGTCTCTAGGAATCTGTCAAAGTTACGTGATAGCACGAAGCAAACAGCACTTGCTAGCCGTAGGAACTCCATTCCGACAGGTCCATTTGCCGTCTAATGGTAACAAATAGTAGCATTTCCCCGTGTGCCATTGCATTGCATCATGCATTGACCTTAAGCTCAAGTTCTTGCAGAATCCATTTCAGTACCCAGCTTTTCCACATGCTTCGAAGTTGCATCAGTGGGCTCTCAACTGCTTAGAGCAGCTGGAAGAAAGTTGGTTTCAGGCCAAAGCTTCTTTGCTCTGTGAAAAGCACAAAGTACCCCCAAAATACCAGACGATATTTTGTAACTGCTCTTGTTTAACCTAACATTGACACCAACTCATCACGCAACATTCAGAAAGCTAAACCTATGTCGGCTAAATCATACATAAAGAATTCTGCTTTAACAATACTTGCTGAGTTTGTTCTCACTTCTCCTGATCACAGTAAGTTTGAACACCAACACCTCCACATATCATCTGGCACAAGAGTCAATACCTAACCCTGGACTGACAAGAGTCACCTGTCTGAATACCATCTTTGCTGCAGAGTTTTGATTCAAAGCTTTCCTCACACAAAGCAGTGTCCATAACCATGCTGCTCTGTGGCCTAGCTTTTGCAAACCTGAAAACATTTTCTAGATTATACTCATTGTCATGTGTAGCTTGAAGTGCACCAGACTGCTAGGGATGCATTTTTGCACTTTGCAAGACTATCACCCGTATGCTGCAAGTGAAAAATATTTTCCTTCCATACACTGTACAAAATTGTGCAAGAATGATTATCTGCAGAAAAAAAAGAGATTATTATCTTCTGAAGAGCATTCGATAATTTCTTCCTGATATACAGAGAAATGTACTTTACTAAAGTAGTACTGCACACAGCTATCAGACCACATGCACACACTGCTGCTGACAAGCACAGAGCTTATTATAGGTAATTAACTTTCACATATATACGCTCTACATATATAAACTTAGCTCGTCCCACATTAACAACCAGGTTAAAAAAAAAGATACTCCTCTTCCTGTCCTTTCATATTTACACGCATAGGCCACAATGATAATAACACTATGCTTTTTACACATTTCAAAGACACCTAGTACTCATGAAGTAAAAGCCCAACTACAGAGCTCTTGGCAAGTTAATGGAAGAGAATCACTCTGGCAGCATAATCGAATATGTGGAATAGTTACTGCAACAAGGACAAACACAGGCTTTGAAGAAATCCCTTTTTGCAGGTGAGAAGTAAAGCCAGTGTGATACAGAACTTCAATGTAACTTTGCAAAACATAAATCCAACAAAATGAGACAACTCACACAAGGGAAAAATGCATAATGGTTGCACAGAAGCCACTAGATACCAATAGTAAGTCTACAGATACTGAGCAAGACACTGAATCAACCTCCTCACAGCCTTGGTTACACCAACCTGAAACTGTATGCAAACAATAAAACCAGGCCCCTAACAGAAAGAATATTCACATGTGGTTCAATATTCCCACAGAGAGAGTGAAAGAACGTTTGCCCATGGTTAAAAACACGTCACAGGTAGCCTGTGACCTGCACCTAGCTCAGACCACGCATTTCACCACGTACCTCTCTTCTTCTTTAGTGACTGATTATACAACAGAGTTGCTCCCAGCTTGCTCGCTCAGGAGCTGCGCCAGGCCCCGCTCGCAGTTCTCCACAGCGCTCTGCGCCCAGCTCTCCCGCGTAAAGCCGAGCAGCCCTTCGGGCCCGGCGGGGCGAGGCCGGGAGCGGAAGCGCACAGCCGGGGGGTCAGAGCCGCGCGTAGCCGGGTGCCGACCG